AATTGTTGTTGAGGAATAAATTGTTGTTGAGGAATAAATTGTTGTTGCGGAATAAATTGTTGTTGAGGAATAAATTGTTGCTGAGGTACTGGTTGTGGAACAGGAACAGGAACAGGAACTGGAACTGGAACTGGTTGAGGGACAGGAACAGGTTGAGGAACAGGAACAGGAACAGGAACTGGTTGAGGAACAGGCACTGGTTGAGGAACAGGTACAGGGACAGGATCTATAGAATAGAAAAAAAGATTTACTTGCATGGTTATACATATGTACAAAATAAAAATTCTTACATGGTTGAGGAACTGGAACTGGAACAGGAACAGGCTGAGGTACTGGTTGTGGCATGGCTGTTGCTTGTAATTGTTGATAAGGTTGCATCATTGGTGCACCAACTGCTTGTAATGAACGCATCATACCCACTAAAATAAGAATTTAAACAGAAATAAAGGTGAATTTTAAATACTAATATTAATAAAAAGCAATTTAGACGCTAATCACACATACTTGGAGCACCAGTGATTGGACAAGTAGCTGGGAATCCACCTCCAAATGGTGATGCACCACCATATCCGCCACCAAACGATGGAATACCAGCAAATCCACCAGCAAAAGCTACGTAAAAACAACATATCATATAAACAATTTACGCATGAAATTTACAAATATACTCACAACCACCACCATACGAAGCCAAACCACCAAAACCACCACCCTTAAAATGTTCACAAATCAAGAAGTCAGTCACGCATCGTTGATTACAATACAAACTAATATGCATAAGATACGCGCGCGTTACCGTCATCAGATCGAAATAAAATTCATTTTTACTTTAAATAAGTGTCTATGAAAAAGATGAACGGTGCATCATTGGTAAAGCACCTCCGACACCTAAAAACAAGCGTAACAGTGTATTTTCGTTTCGATAGAAGAAAAAGAACTTACCACCACTAAATCCACCAACAGGAAGACCACCACCAAGTCCGTAACCACCAGTAAATGGCATGCTGCTAGGCATTGACATGCCACCACCAAGTCCGAAACCACCACCAAATGGCATGCTGCCACCAAACGGCATACCACCACCATATGAACCACCACCGTAGCTGGCGAGACCTAATAATTTAGAAAAAAGGCGTCTTTATAACAAATATTCACATATTGAGTGCAAACCTACCACCACCAAAACCACCACCACCAAAACCACCCATTGACATCGGTGGACACACTGCTGAAGACATTGGCATTGGCATTGGCATCGGTGCAGGCATTGGCATTGGCATTG